GTGGTTTCCTCCAGACATAACGTTTAAAATTGAGGCCAGACAGTTCAATCTTGGATTCATCAGACCAGAGAATATTGTTCCTCACAGTCTGAGAGTCTATCAGGTGCATTTTTGCAAACGCCGAGCAAGCTTTTTTGTGTGTTTTGTACTGAGGAGAGGATTCCATCAAGCCACTCTGCCATAAAGCCCAGGTTGGTGGAGGGCTGCAGTGATGGTTGGCCTTCTGGAACTTTGGATCAGGATCTCTGGAGCTCAGTCAGAGTGACCATCGGGTTCTTGGTCATCTCTCTCCCCAAATACTCAGTTTGGCTGGGCGACCACCTCTTTGAAGAGACCTGGTCCTTCCAAACATCTTCCATTTGAGAATTATAAAGGCCACTGTATTCTTGGGAATCTTCAATGCAGCAGAAAGTTTTGTAGCCTTCCCCAGATCCCCCGAGTGCCTTGCAATAATCCTGTCTCTGAGCTCTGCAGACAGTTCTTTATACCTCATAGCTTTTGCTCTGAGACAGTATGCATTCTCAGCTGTGAGGCCTTTTATAGAGGTGTGTGCCTTTCCAAATCATGTCCAATCAATTTAATTTTCCACAGGTAGACTCCATTCAAGAATCATCTCAGCAACTATCAAGAGAAATGGGGGGCACCTGATCTAAATTTCAAGTGTTGTTGCCAAGGGTCTGAATACTTATGCCAATGTGATATTTCAGTTTTTCCTATTTAATAAATTCACAGACATTTATAAAATTCTGTTTTCATTTCATCATTATGGGGTACTAAGTGTAGATTGATGAGCAAAAAAATAAAAAGAATTTAAACAACTGTAGTATCAGGCTGCAACATAAAAAAACTGAAAAAAGTGAAGGGGGTCTGAATACTTTATGAATGCACTGTATATACATTCACTGTACAGCTCTGCAACCAAGGAAGTACAGTCATACCGCGGAGTCTCTTTGTTTCTCAGAGCTTCTTTCTTCAGTAGTTCCAGTCTCTGTAAGGTGCAGAAACAGCGGTATGCCGCCCCACGTTCCAAGAGAGTGTGTACAGCCTCATGGTACAGATTTAGTCGCTTAGACTGTTCATAGGGGCCGAATGCTCCCCCCCTCTCCTTGGACTCTCATGTGGTGGAATCCCTAAGACAGTAAGCAGTAATAATATTACAAAAACAATATATATGGTCATATATACAGTATTTTACAGGCAATGTTTAGTGGCTTTGCATTTCTTCTCTTCATTTATTGCAGTTAGGGGTTAATAGAAATTAATTTTTTCTTAGGTAGATATAAAATGTTACTTATGAATATTTTGCATGATCACCTCCTCCAGTAGGTGGAGCCCTTAGACTGAAGCTTGTGTTTTCCTGGCCATCCTTGCCTGCTTTGCTTAAAAAAAAAATATATATATATATATTTTTTTTTATAGAGTTTAACATCTACATAAGCTCATATTTACACACACACGTGAATTAATCAGGACAGTGATTCATCCCATGTTGCTGTTTTTGGACATACTCAAGCTCTTCCTGGTAGAGTTCAAGACACTCCCAAATGATGGGCCTTGTAGCAGATTGTATATGCCTGGATTATATTATATATGCCTGGACAAGAGTAGCCGCCTGATGTGTAAGCAAATACACTCACTGGCCACTTTATTAACTACACCTGTTCAATTGCTTGGAAACACAAACTGCTGATCGACCAATGACATGGCAGCAACTCAACGCATTTAGGCATCTAGACGTGGTGAAGACGACTTGTTGGAGTTCAAACCGAGCATCAGAATGGGGAAGAAAGGGGATTTAAGGGTCTTTGAACATGACATGATTGTTGGTGCCAGATGGGCTGATCTGAGTATTTCAAAAACTGCTGATCTACTGGGAGTTTCACGCACAACCATCTCTAGGATTTACAGAGAATGGTCCGAAAAAAAGAAAATATCCAGTAAGTGGCAGTTGTGTGGATGAAGATGCGGGTTTGCAGAGGGTGGTCCGAAAAAGAGAAAATATCCAGTGAGCGGCAGTTATGTGGACAAAGATGCGGATTTACAAAGGGTGGTCCGAAAAAGAGAAAATATAAGTGAGTGGCAGTTGTGTGGATGAAGATGCGGGTTTACAGAGGGTGGTCCGAAAAAGAGAAAATATCCAGTGAGTGGCAGTTGTGTGGATGAAGATGTGGGTTTACAAAGGGTGGTCCGAAAAAGAGAAAATATAAGTGAGTGGCAGTTGTGTGGATGAAGATGCGGGTTTAAAGAGGGTGGTCCGAAAAAGAGAAAATATCCAGTGAGCGGCAGTTGTGTGGACGAAGATGCGAGTTTACAGAGGGTGGTCCGAAAAAGAGAAAATATGCAGTGAGTGGCAGTTGTGTGGACAAAGATGCGGATTTACAAAGGGTGGTCCGAAAAAAAGAGAAAATATAAGTGAGTGGCAGTTGTGTGGATGAAGATGTGGGTTTACAGAGGGTGGTCCAAAAAAAAGAGAAAATATAAGTGAGTGGCAGTTATGTGGATGAAGATACGGGTTTACAGAGGGTAGTCCGAAAAAGAGAAAATATCACGTGAGCGGCAGTTGTGTGGACAAAGATGCGGGTTTACAGAGGGAGGTCCGAAAAAAGAGAAAATATCCAGTAAGTGGCAGTTGTGTGGATGAAGATGCGGGTTTGCAGAGGGTGGTCCGAAAAAGAAAAAATATCCAGTGAGCGGCAGTTGTGTGGACAAAGATGCAGATTTACAAAGGGTGGTCCGAAAAAGAGAAAAATATAAGTGAGTGGCAGTTGTGTGGATGAAGATGCGGGTTTACAGAGGGTGGTCCGAAAAAGAGAAAATATCCAGTGAGCGGCAGTTGTGTGGACGAAGATGCGAGTTTACAGAGGGTGGTCCGAAAAAGAGAAAATATGCAGTGAGTGGCAGTTGTGTGGACAAAGATGCGGATTTACAAAGTGTGGTCCGAAAAAGAGAAAATATCCTGTGAGTGGCAGTTGTGTGGACGAAGATGCGGGTTTACAAAGGGTGGTCTGAAAAAGAGAAAATATAAGTGAGTGGCAGTTGTGTGGATGAAGATGCGGGTTTACAGAGGGTAGTCCGAAAAAGAGAAAATATCCAGTGAGCGGCAGTTGTGTGGACAAAGATGCGGGTTTACAGAGGGTAGTCCGAAAAAGAGAAAATATCCAGTGAGCGGTTGTGTGGACGAAGATGTGGGTTTACAAAGGGTGGTCCGAAAAAAAGAGAAAATATCCAGTGAGTGGCAGTTGTGTGGATGAAAATGCCTTGTTGATGTCAGAGGTCAGAGGAGAATGAGCAGACTGGTTGCTGCGACATTCAGATGGTAGGGTCAGAATTCGGCGTAAACAACATGAAAATCATGGATCCACCCTGCCTTGTATCAACGGCTCAGGCTGGTGGTGTACTGGTGTGGGGGAGATTTTCTTGGCACTAGTAAGGTGTACCTAATAAAGTGGATGATGAGTGTACTATTCCTGTACCACCCCAATGAGCTCAAACAGCAAACACATACCTGCCCACTCCAACATGTCTTCTATGCCTTCAGCTGCTCCGGGAACCAGGCGGCTCCTGTCTGTGTCTTCGAGTCGTAGAATGAAAGATCCTCCATGCTTCTTCGCAAAAATATAATTGTAGAGTGCGGTGCGCAGCCCACCCAGGTGAAGAAAGCCTACAAAGAGAAAGAACAGTACACACCAACTGCAAAATGACAAATATCAATAGGCAGCACTAAATCAGGTAATACCATACACTAGGTTCACATTAGTGCTTGCTTCCCTCTAAAAAGCAATCCACAGTGGACCACTTTTCAGAGGAGCTGCACATGTGGTGAGGAGGTGATATGTTGCCACCTTAGCACCTGTTTTAAATTGGTCAGTTCTGCACCACTGCACCATTGCAATGCATTAACATGAGCTTGCACGTGTCGTGTTTGGTGGCGGTACTGCCTTTTGAATGTGACAGGGGAGATCATTTTTGCCACAGCTGGAAAGCACTGCAACTGCAGAAGGTGTACAACCCCATTGCAGCCTAAGGAAGGATGGTACAAATGTGGCACTTCCTGTCTCACGGTGACAACACTTCCTAACCATACAGTCTAGAGAAAACAGCGTTGTCACACTGGGACAGGACTGCAGAACGTGGGGTTTTTTTTTTCCTTCTTTTACCCCACAGTGCTAACCTTTTCTAAGTTGTTTCGGAGATGCAGAACCTTTCTTATGCATCATTTTATCCGCTGGTGCATAATATATAATATTTGTTAGCTCCACTGTCATTTTATGTGAACAATCAAGTGGACCCTGAAGAAGCTCTCTGTTTTGGGCGAAACGCGTCGCTCCATATGTTCTATGCATGTCTGTTTGTACACTTCGTTGCTGTAATTACAATTGATGACAAAACATTTTATACTGATTTTTAATATGGAAATAATAAAAAAGATGTGCATTTATTGATGTGTTCCTTAATTTTGTTTGATATTTTGACACATTAACCACTTGCCTACAGGGCACTTATAACCCCCCCCCCCCCCCCCCAGGCCAATTTCCAGCTTTCAGCGCTGTCACACTTTGAATGGCAATTGCGCGGTCATGCAACACTGTACCCATATGACATTTTTATCATTTTTTTGAGACAGATAAAGCTTTATTTTGGTGGTATTTAATCACCTCTGGGATTTTTATTTTTTCTTAAACAAACCAAAAACCACTGAAAATTTTGAAAAAAAACCCTTTTTTTTCTTAGTTTGTGTTATACAATTTTGTAAATATGTGATTTTTCTCCTTCACTGATGTGCGCTAATGAGGCTGCAGTGATGGGCACTGATGGACACTGATAGGTGGCACTGATGAGGAGGCACTGGTAGGTTGCACTGATGGGCATTGACAGGCATCACTGATGGGCACTGAAAGGCAGCACTGATGCATGACATTGATATATGGCACTGATAGGCAGCACTGACTGGCGGCACTGACTGACACTGTTAGGCGGCACTGATGCGCACTGATAGGCAACACTGACTGGCAGCACTGATAGGTGGCACTGATTGGCATTGATAGGCGGCACTGATGCGCACTGATAGGCGACAATGACTGGCACTGATTGGCAGCACTGATAGGTGGCACTGACTGGCACTGATGGTTGACATTGAAAGGCAGCTCAGATGGGCACTGATATGTGGCACTGGCATAAGGCACTGATGGACTCTGACAGGTGGCACTTCTGGGGCCACACTGATCATCAGTGCCCTGATGATCAGTGTACATGTCCCCTCCGCGCTGATTACCGGCTCTCCTCTCCTCTCGAGCTGTCAGCATGACAGCTCGAGGGGAGAGAAATGCCGATAACCGGCATTTCCGTGTTTACATGTGATCATCTGTGATTGGACACAGCTGATCACATGACCGAGCCGACATCTTCGGCTCTTTCCGTGATCCACTGTGTCCAAGGGACACAGCGCACCGCCAATCACCGCGCTGCGTGCTCCATGAGCCGCGCATGCGCAGTGAGAATGGTAGGACGTCATATGATGTCCTATCAGAACGAGAGAACCACCTTGCGCTCGTCTTTATACTATAGGGCGGGCGGAAGGTGGTTAAAATCCTCACACTGCCGTGGCCCCTATTGGGTTACCATGGTAACTCTGTATCCTTTTACTAGATAATACATAGGATAGTGCCATTTATTTTGATAGCACAGGTTCCCTTTTTACCATGTACCAACGATATATTTAACTGACCAAAAGACATCAAATATGAGAAGGTCATTGCTTGAGGTTGCAAACACTGTAAAGCTGAACTCCATGTAGATCTAAAAGACACAAATGAATGCAGCTCTGTCATCATGAACACATTATTATCAGCATCTCTCTATGACCTGATATCAGCCTCTTGCAGTCCCTGTAAAGCAGAGCTCACATTGGGGGAGGAAGTATCAGCACAAGAAGCCAGTCAGTTCATAAGCATGCTGATAGGAGGAGAGAGCAGAGTGACAAATGGACAAGCTCATCATTGTACTGCGTTTCCATTCACTGCCCAGTCACAGGCTGGGGGCGGGTCCCCAACAACCTGGGCACAGAGGAAATGCTGGTCATCAGACTGAGGACATCTAAAGGCAGAAAAAAGTACTGCAGGGGAAATCTGTGGATTAAAAGTGCTTATTGAAGCAAAACTGCCTTTATTTCATCTTTTACTGGATCATTCATTTTTATCTTGTTATTTTTGCCTGGAGTTCAGCTTTAGTTTTTTTGGTCAGCTATCCTTAAAGTATAGATTGTGAATTAGTCATTTTGGACACGGCTCTCCAATGAGAATCAGACAGGATGGCAACACACCATGCAAACACAAGAGTAGTGGTCTGACCATGTGTCAGTAGGGTTGCCACCTCATCCCTTTAAACCCGAACACATATTAACTGCTTCCCGACCGCCCTATAGCAGATATACTGCAACAGGGCGGCACAGGTGCACAAAATCACACACTTATATACTGTGTATATATATACACACACACACACATACATACACACACATACAGTTGCAAGAAAAAGTATGTGAACCCCTTGGGATTACGTGGAGTTTTGCATGAATTGGGCATAAAATGTGCTCTGAACGTCATCTAAGTCACAACAATAGAAGAACACAGTCTGCTGAACATAATACTACACAAACATTAGATGTTGCCATGGTTTAATTGCACATAACATGTAAACATTCACAGTGCAGGGAGGAAAAAGTATGTGAGGCCCTAGCTTAATGACTTCTCCCAGAGCTAATTGGAGCCAGGAGTGAGCCAACCTTGACTCCAATCAGTGTGATGATATTGGATGTGTTGCTGACAGCTGTCCTGCCCTTAAAAAACACACACCTGTTTTGGGTTTACTGGTTTCAAGAAGCACTGTCTGATGTGAACCATGCCTCGCAGAAAAGAGCTCTCAGAAGACCTACGATCAAGAATTGTTGACTTGCATGAAGCTGGAAAGGGTTACAAAAGTATCTCCAAAAGCCTTGATGTTCATGTGTCCACGGTAAGACAGACTGTCTACAAATGGAGAGAAAGTTTAGCACTGTTGCTACTCTCCCTAGGCGTGGTCGTCCTGTAAAAATGACTGCAAGAGCACAGCGCAGAATGCTGCATGAGGTAAAGAAGAATCCCAGAGTGTCAGCTAAAGACCTACAGAAATCTCTGGCAAATGCTAACATCTTTGTTGACACATCTACAATAAGGAAAACATTAAACAAGAATGGAGTACATGGGAGGACACCACGGAGGAAGCCATTGCTGTCCAAAAAGAAGATTGCAGCACGTTTGAAGTTTGCAAAAGAGCACCTGGATGTTCCACAGCACTACTGGCAAAATATACTGTGGACAGATGAAACCAAGATTGAGTTGTTTGGGAAGAACACACAACACTATGTGTGGAGAAAAAAAGGCACAGCACACCAACATCAAAACCTCATCCCCACTGTAAAACATGGCGGTGGGAGCATCATGGTTTGGGGCTGCTTTGCTGCCTCAGGGCCTGGATGGATTGTTGTCATTGATGGGAAAATGAATTCCAGAGTTTATCAAGACATTTTGCAGGAAAACGTACGACCATCTGTCCGCCAACTGAAGCTCCGCAGAGGATGGGTGATGCAACAGGACAATGACCCAAAGCATACAAGTAATTCAACAAAACAATGGAGGGTCAACCAGTTATTAAGTCCAAAGGTTCACATACTTTTTCCTCCCTGCACTGTGAATGTTTACATGTTATGTGCAATTAAACCATGGCAACATCTAATGTTTGTGTAGTATTATGTTCAGCAGACTGTGTTCTTCTATTGTTGTGACTTAGATGATGTCCAGAGCACATTTTATGCCCAATTCATGCAAAACTCCACGTAATCCCAAGGGGTTCACATACTTTTTCTTGCAACTGTATATATATATATATATATATATATATATATATACCGTATTTTTCGCTCCATAAGACGCACTTTTTTCCTCCCAAAAAAAGGGGGGAAAATGTCAGTGCGTCTTATGAAGCGAATATGGAGCGGCCGGTCCGGTATTTCCACCGCCACCGTGTCAGAATACTGGGCCGGCCGCTCAGCTCTGCAGCGGGACCTTATGGAGATGACTGCTGACCTTTGGGGAGGTGGGGAGCGGGTACCTGAATTTGACAGGTACCCGCTCTTACTTCTTTGTTCTTTGATCTTACCTGTTCCTGTCTTCCCGGCTTCTGTAGTGTGGGCGCTGGGCATGACAGCCGGGTGCCAAGTGCGCATGCGCAAGAAGCGGTGCTTTTAGTGAATGGTAAGGCGGTACATAGGACACATGACAGATCCCATAAGCCGCCGGACCAATCACAAAGCGCAAGTGCTTCTCGCTCATGCGCACTGGGCACCCGGCTGTCATGCCGAGCGCCATTACAGAAGCCGGGAAGACAGCGCGCGGCTGGATCGAGGAACAGGTAAGATCAAAGAACTAAGAGCGGGTACCTGTCAAATTCAGGTACCCGCTCCCCCCCCTCCCCAAAGGTCAGCAGTCATCTCCTGTACTGTGTCCGCAGTCTCTGGTTATCCCTGTGCTGTCCGCAGTCTCTGGTCATCCCTGTGCTGTCTGCAGTCCATTAGTTCATAATTTTTTTTTCCTGTTTTCTGCCTCTAAAACCTAGGTGCGTCTTATGGTCAGGTGCGTCTTATGGAGCGCAAAATACGGTATATATACACACACACACACACATATATATATATATGGTTATGCACTTCCAGGTAGGGGATAGATATATATATATATGTGTGTGTGTGTGTGTGGTTTTGCACTTCCGGGTAGGGGGCACACACGCCCTACCCTTGCCTCCATTCATGTTCGCGGCTCTCAATCACCAGATCCCGCCCGGTAATTACTCGCCGGCGCCTGGTGATTTCCGATGATCTCCAACAGAGAGGACTGTTTTGTTTACTAACAGTTCTGCTCCCTGTCAGCTTGGGCACACTGCTTTGGATGGCACAGCCATCCAGAGCAATGTGATTACAGTGAAGCACACTAATACCGCCCCCCAGAAAAACACACCCAACACAGTTAACCCTTTGATCGCCCCTCATGTTAACCCCTTCCTGCCCAGTGCCATTAGTACAGTGTCAGTGCTTTTTTTTTTAGCACTGATCACTGTATTGGTGACACCAAGTCAGTCCCCCCCCCCCCCGTGTCAGAATGCCCGCCGCAGTCCCGCTACAAGTCGCTGATCGCAACCATTACTAGCAAAAATAAAATCCGAGTATCTATACCGCCATTTGCAAACGCTATAACTTTCATGTAAACCTATTAATTTACACGTATTGGGATTTTATTTAGCAGACATGGAGCAGAATACATTTTGGCCTAAATTTATGATGAAATTTGACGTTTAAAAATTTTTTTACTGGACATGTTTAATAGCAAAAAGTCAAAAATATTGTTTTTTTCTCAAAATTTTCAGTCTTTTTTTTATAGCGCAAAAAATAAAAAACGCACAGGCGATCAAATACCACCGAAAGAAAGCTCAATTTGTGGGAAAAAAAGGACGTAAATTTCATTTGGGTGCCGCTTTGCATGACCGCGCAATTGTCAGTTAAAGTAACGCAGCGCCGTAATGCAAAAAATGGCCTGGTCAGGAAGGGGGGGAATCCTCTGGAGGGCGAGGGGTTAATGACTCAGGTGCTGAGGCTGACTAAGGCGGTAATTAAACTCACCCAGTGCCTAATCTGCATTAAATCAGCCTCACAACCTGGCTCATTAATATGTGTCCGGGCATAAAGGGATGAGGCGGCAGCCCATTGGGTCAGTCCTGTCCAGGTAGATATGACTGGTCCTTTTTAGGCCTCTACCATTACCTGTAGGGCTGGGAGCAAAGCGGACCCGAACTTCCCTGGGTGTCCCCCCTGAGCACCTCCTGACCCCCCGGGGCAGAGCCGAACACACAACCCGGAGAAGTCTCATCTCCTCACACAACGTCTTCGGTCACAAGACCCTCTACCACCTGAGTCCCAGCCTGTCACTTCTAATTCTTACTTCTCCACATAAAGTGTCTTCATTGTAGTCGACATTTTGTCAAAGCCTCCCCATAGAGTTCAATGGTAGGTCTACAGCAAAATGTCCGCTTAGAAGGCTATATTCTGCACCTGCAGGAGGCGGGCGCTCCGGCCGGCCAGTGTTTGTCTCTATGGTACTTAGACCTCCGAGCGGCTCTCTTCCGGTCCTGGACAGGGCTACAGTTGCCGGCTGGGTCCAAAGGGGCTGAGTGTGAGTTTCCCGGCAGCCCTCGCGCTGGAGACTTGTACACAATCATCATGGCGTCCCAGGACGGTGGGTACCGGGTCCCCCGAGGGCAGAGCGCATGTGTGACCCGATTTGGGGTCA